GCGCGACCGCTGAGCTGCAGGGGCAAAGTGGCCGACGGGAGGCCCCCTTGCCTTCGGCCCGGCGAGAAAATCCTGGCGCGCGGCAGTCGCGACGTCTGGGCCCAGCGAGACAGCGGCAAAACTGTCGACGCAGACCGAGGCGACGACGTCGGAGCTCTCGAAGCGGCGACGCCGAGGCGCCGTCGACCAACATAGATTCTGCTCTCATGACCGTGTCGGCCATGGCCATGTTGAGAGCGGACTGGTAGACGCGCAAAGCCCGCGACCAGCCCGTCGGCGTGACGGGCGCGAACTGCCGCACGTAGCCGCGCGCCCCGAACTTGACCCTGCCCGCGTGCTCGAAGCCGAGGTGCCGGCTTGGTGCAAAAGGGAGACTGATGCTACGACTTAGATGTGCTGATCGTTTGATATGGTAAAATATGCACAGTACATCGCCCTGGGCCGCGAAAAACCCCGCCGTTTGCCTCGCGCGCACTCCGCGCCGACGGATTCGGCAATCTCCTAAAAGAATTAGCCGAGAAGGGCAAGTGCGCCACCCGCGCGTCGAACGCGAGACGCCAGTTGACGCTGTTGGCCTTCTCGACGAAGAAGAACCCAGCAGAGGGGCAGTCGCCTGGCGTTCGGCGACATCCCACTCGAGCATGCCAGCCTGATGCGCGCGGAGCGGGAAGTCAGCGCACTCACAAGGCCGAAACCGAAGACGACGATCAACGTGGGGCTGACCAATGTAAGACTCCTTCCTCAGGGCCGCCGACTCGGCTGGGTCGCGTAGCATATGATGCCTCCGCCCTACCAACACCTGACGACCGGGCTCAGCAGCGAGGTCGGCTGTTGGGACAAGGGCCGCGTGCTTCGGCCAAAGGGGCGAGCTACATGTTGCAGGGGCGCACCCGGGAACCATCGGAGTATCCGGGCGCCGACGCGAGCAACTCTGGCAGGGCTGCCCCGCATGTCTGAGGATATTCAGAGTACCCAGGAGGGGCGACAATACAGCGACACTGCTGAGCCAAAAACTCTGCACCGCCACTGCGGGCAAGAGGAGGGAGACTAGGACGCGGCGCGACCATATCGCGCGGGTCACTGTGGTACATGTCGTTGAAGGTGCCGACGTCAGTGTTGTAACACTCTTGCCGTGCAGTACCTTTGGAAGCAGGAGCGCGGGAGGCGCCGCCCCATGACGAAGGGCCCGACCTTCGCTCCACGGGAAACATCGGGTTGGCAAATTGGACGAGCAGCGCTGGGGCAATGCGCCTGGCTGGCGCCATTCGGGCGAGCCCCGCTGCCAGGCCTGATGTCATCGGGCTTCACGGCGCCTGCAAGACCTGCTCCTCGCGGGCCTCGCGGCGCTTTTGCTGATGGCCGCTTCGGCCTCTGGTCGGCGGTGCACTCCAGCGGCTTCGGGCCGATGCACACGTTGGCCTTCGAGACACCCGCGCCGAGAAAAAAAAATGGTCTACGCGGCGGCTGTGCTGCCGCTGCTGCTGGCGCCCTTGGCACCCGCTTTCGCCTTGGGAGCGGTTTCGGCGGCCGTGGGAGTGCGAGCCCCGTAGACCCGCTCATCCAGCAGCTGGACCTGGCGGGCGATCACCTCGAAAGACCCCAAATCGGCCACCAGCAGTTGCTCGTAGACCACGGCCGTGTCCAGGACGCGGCACAGCGCCTTGTGGAGCTTGGGGTACTCGTCGTCGTCGGTCGGCATCGTGGCCACGAGCCACCCCTGATGCCACGCCGTGGGGGACCGCGCCACCTTCAACGTGAACGCGAGGTAACAGCGAAGGGTCCGCGGGACCTCGACGGGCCATCCGAACCCTCGACAGTGCCATCATCTCGTTGACAGCCTCGCCAAACCTCCTCTCGCGCTCGCCGCGGACGCTCGTCTGAAGAGGGGGGACGCGGAAGTCGCCACCAGGCCCCGCGGCGGCGGTCCCAAACAGGGTGGGCGCCGCGTGGGCGGCCAGCGGAGCTCCGGCGGCGGCCGGCGCCCCTCCCAAGGCGGCGGCCAGCGCAGGCAGCCTCGGGGCCGCGCACGCGGGGACGGCCGCGGGGGGCGCCGCGCCCAGCACCAGGGCGAGGGCGGCGCCTCCGAAACCAGCGGCATGCGGGGCCCCAGCAGCCGCTGCAAAAGCGGCGCTCAGCGCTGCTGGACCAACTCCAGCGTCAGGCGCTGGGACCAGGATCGACGTTCCTTCCTAGGGTGCCACGCCAGCGCCTCTTGCAGCCAGGTCGGGGACCCTCCACTCGACGGTGGCCTCGGCCTCAGCCGTATGCCGAGCCGCCCGCAGCTGCGTCGGAGTCAGGTCCTGCCGGGAACGGCAGACCTCCTCGCGGCCAGTGCCCGGAGGGGGAGGCCAGCGCCCGGTGCCGAAGCGGACGGTGGCGATGTCCTTGCTAGCCCCGAAGTGGTCCTCAGGGTACATGTCCCCGTCAGGGGAAGCGATCCACTCAGTGGCCGAGGACCCCATCAAAGCCCCCAATCGCCTTCGTTGGTGCACCTCCTCGGGGTAGCCGGCGTACCGCACGAACGCCCATGGGCATGTCGACTCCGTCGAGCCCGCTGCCGCCATCGGTCATGGCCTTCGGCTCCACGCGCGCGACGCGCTGGGAGCACCGGCTCAACGAGGCGCCCACCGTCAGGCCAGTCGCGCCAGCCAGCCCAATGAGCGTCGCCACCAGCCACCGCGCTGCACCAAGGCCCACCTCGACCTGCGGGGCCAGAGGTGGGACCAGCGCTGGAGGCGGCGCGCCCAGGCAGGCCAGGCAGGCCAGAGGCGGCGGGCACGGCGGGATCGCCGGGCACAGCGGGCAGGGCGGAATCGAGTGGCAGCGCGAGAGGTAGGCCGCGCTGACCTGTCCACTCCGGGCCGTTGACGCGACCTCAGCCGGCATCCGCAAGCGGCAGCTCGCGGCCCGGAGAACTTGAGAATGGATTCGCGGCCCGATAAGAGCCTCAAAAAGCCGCGGGCCAGCACAAGTTCCATTGTCATCATCCGCGTCATCGTCACCATCAGTATCCCGATCACGACATCATCCTCATCCTCGGCGTCATCAGCACCATCATAATCATCACCATCACCACCATCAGCCTCAGCCCCCTCACCAACGTCATCATCACCACCACCATCATCAACATCAGCATCATAATCATCAATTCGCCGGCCCAACGGGCCAGAGGCGTGCTAAGATCTCCGGTAACTGCTAAATAATACTTCTACTTCGCGCGCGCGGGGCGGCCCCTGGGGGTCCCCGGACGAAAAGTACCCCGGGCGATCCCCGGCAGACTCGGGTCAGAGATGGTTTTCCTCCTGGGCGCCGCCCCCGTTGGCCCTCCAGAGAGCCCCAAGAAGGGCCACGAGGCCGCCAAGAGCCCTCCAAGATGGTTCAAGAGTGCTCCGAGATGCCACACGATCGTTCCAAGACGCCCAAGATGGCCCCCAGACGCCCCAAGAGGCCTCCAAGAGCACTCCCCAGAGGGCCCCAAGAGGCAAAATTCATTACTTTTCCTTAGGTTTTGGGCAGATTTTGGCGTGTCCATCTTTTCGGCTTCCCGACGCCCCAAGACGGCCCAAGAGGCCCCCAAGATCGCCCCAAGAGGGCCCAAGAAGCTCCCAAGAAGGCCCCAAGATGGCCCAAGAGGGCTCCAAGACGGCCCCAGAGGCATCCAAGACGGCCCAAGAGGGGCCCCAAGCGATGCCCCAAAGGGGGAACACAAAACAAAACTTCGAGCCCTCGGCCTTAAGAAGCCCCCAGGAGGCCTCAAGAGGCCCCTGAGAGGCCCCAAAAGCCCCCAAGAGGCCCTCAGGAGGCCCCCCAAGCGACGCTGAAGAGGCCCCCCAGCGGCCCCAAGAGGCTCAGTCATGCGAAATGGGCCGGCGGAATGAGCGAAGCGATTCAATAACATCATCATCAGCATCAGCCTGATCGTCCGCATCAGCACCATCGTCAACATCAGCATCAGCCTCACCATCTTAAGTATCACCGTCACCATCATCAGCAGCATCATCAGTATCATCAGTATCATAGTTTCCATTGACATCATAATCATCATCACCACCATCAGCATCAACCACAACAACATCATCCTCATCATAATCCTAGACCCTCATCCTCATCATGGCTCTACCACCCTCGAACCGTCGTCACCCAGAATGATGTGCTGGCACGGTGGCGAGATTTACGGCAAGCAAATGGACAATGCAATCGACTGTCTCGGTAGCGATGACGTACCATGTCAGCTGATGTAAGTGGTAATGGGATGACAGTGACTTTCTCCCCAGCTCGCTGGCCAAGCGGGCCCTTCAGCTTTGGCCTCTGCCTTAAGCCTCGAGACCGGCTGATCCGCCTACTCAGCGCTGCACTGCGTGTGTACTGCAGGGGGTGTAACTTGACAGCAACCTGTAACTCAGCAGCGCGCCCTTTCAGGGCAGCGAGCGATTTCGGGGAGGCACCTGGCTGGACGTAGGGTGGAGGGCAAATTCGACTGAGTTCGACCATGGCAACGCTAGCCGTGCGCTTGCAGGCGATGCTTACAGGCAAGCTGGGTTGTATGTGCTGGATCTTGAGGCATGCCGCGTCTTCTGCGATTTCTGCTTTCGCCAGTGTGGCTGCTGCCGCGAGTCACGATCCTGACGCTGTGCTACAACAGCGGCTCGGAACAGTCCAGGTTTCCTGCCGAAGGAAGCGTCAGCCCCGGGAAGGCTAGGACATTGAACCTCCATGACTCCACCATGGGGTAGTTGAGTCTCCATCCCCTCCGAAGACTCGGACGAAGAAAGCTGAGATACGAGCTTCCTTGCCGCACGTCCGCTCTCTCTGACCGCTGTGCGCGAGGAGGTGCCGACGCCAATGACACGCGGAAGCGGCCCGCAATGATCGTGGACTCGGCTGAGCTGGCAGCTCCGTCTGCGATGCAGACGGAGCACTTGCATGCACGCCGAACAGATGGCCCTTTTTCAAAGCGAAGGCCGCTGCCGAGGATGCCCTCCTTCGCTCTGCTGCCGATGCTACAGGTTTGCCAAGTCTGCCTGAGGCGCCAAGAAGCCATCGACGACGACCCTCAGAGCCTGAATCTCCAGGGTAACAGCCTCCAGTCCCTTAGCCACCACGTCGGCTGACACGCTGAATGTGCTGATGGCCTCCTCCGTGCGCGCTGTGGCACGGGGCTCAAGAGTTGGGCCGCCGAGATCGGCGCTATCACTGTCACTGCTGCTGCTGCTGCTGCTGCTGCTGCTGTTTCTGCCGCTTCCACCTACCACGCTGTGAGACAGCGCGCTGCCGCATAAGTCTGCCGCACTACCGCTGCCTGCTGGCCCTGGAACCGCCACGCAACACGGCGGGTCGCCGAGATAGTCCGAGCCTGCCACGGCGCTATCGCTGGAGTGTCCCTGGTCCAGCTGAAGTTGGCCAGCGTGGGGGTCGTCGGCCCTGCTGCAGCCTCCCTCCCCGTCGAGCGCACTGTCGCCGGAGGAGCTTGCAGAGTCGCCCCTTCTGGTTTGCACAGAGCCCAGCGTGCGAGACAGCGCATGGCTGTCGCAGGGGTCGTCGGAATTCCCTCCGCTGCTGTCCACCTCGTGGGCGGCGTCTCCGCTGGAGTCCCCCGTGCTCTCGCTGCTGTGCTGGCTGCTGGGTGCTTTCGGAGATTCGCCGCACGGCGGCCCCCGCGGGGGCGCTGCGCCGTCGCCCAGCGAGCACGGGTGGCTGTCTGCGTCCAGGCGGCCGTCTCCCCCGGCTGGTGCCTTCAGAGAGTCGCCGCGTGGCGGCCCACCCAGGGGCGCTGCACCCGGCGCCTCGTCTGGCACGTGCACCGGCACCACCGCGTTGAGCGAGCGATCTCCACCCGCCAAGCCGGCGCTCGGCGACAGCGCCGCCGCTCCGAGCGGGCGGCAAGCTGCGCGCTGCCCGTGCCGCGTGCCGCGCTGCTTGCTCGGGCTGCCGAAGGCAGCAACCAAGGTGCCCCCTCTGTCCTTCAAGACGGCCTTCCGCCACGCGCCCCGCAGCCTAACCACGATCAGGCACGCGCAGCCCACGGCCGACGCGGATGCGCCAAGCGCCGCTGCGAGGGCGACGGCGCTGGCCTGCTTCTGGTCGCCCGCCAGCCGCTCGGCTGCTGCTGCATCTGCCGCGCTCACCCAAAAATTCATGGAGCCACCTGCGCCAGCCACCGTGAAGTGCAAATCGCTGGCCTGCAAGTGATCGCTGAAGGCGGCCGCGAAGGACTCGGCTGACTCAGCCTCAAGCCGCGCCAGCATGGCGCCCGCTGCCTCAGCAGCAATGGTGATGTTGAAAACCACGTGCAATGCCTCCATGCTGCTCGCGCGCCTGCTGCCAACTTGTGGCGGCGCGGCAACACGCTGCGAAGCGGGCGCGGTTGCCAGCCGCTGGCTGGGCTGAGTGACCCACACCTCGACATCCTCCTGGAGGGTGCCGGAGCCTGCCTTGGCCGCTATCGTCTCCCGCAAGGGGGGCAGCACGTTCGGGTGGCGCGCGAACTCCCCCGGGTCGCCGGAAACCTGCAGCGCCAACATGCCGTGCAACACTAGGGTGGGCTCGGCCCAGCCCGTGCCTGCAGCGCCGGCGGTGCTGTCGGGTGCGCTCGTGGATGCCGCGGTGGGCGCTGCCAGCGTGGTGCCCGACACGCTGGCCGAGGGGGCTGCAACCGAGGACGTGCTCGAGACTGAGGTGATGGCCATGGACGTGCTCGTGACTGTCACCGAAGTTGCTCTAGTGGCTGTCGACACGGTCCATGTCGCGGTAATCGACGTCGTGGCCGTGGTGGATGAAACAGTCGTCGACGTACCGGTTAAACTTGAGCTGGTGGATGAAAGAGTCGTCGACTTAGTGAAAGGACATCGGCATGGACAGAACTGTTCTGTTGTAGCAATGCTGCAATCAGCCACCTGGCACCACGCTTCGTCAGCGCAGGCCGTAGAACCCGTGGTGGTGACCATCATAGACTGGCTTGTCGTGGTGCCAGTACGGGTAACAGTGGATGTAAGGCACGAGCAAGGGCAAAACTCCGCCGTCCCAGAGACGCTGCACTCGACCAACTCGCACCAGAAGGGCTGGTCCGCGCATGACCCTGCTCTCGCCTATGTGGAGTTCAATCGCATTCGCCGACGCCTTCGATGCCATCGGCGTGTGGGTCTGTTTCCCTCTCTCTCGACGCTTCCCCCTCTCCTGCTGGGGCGCGCGTCTTCTGAGCTCGAACTAATGCATTTCCAAGAAGGCATGCTTGGGGTTGGGGAGTCGGAGGCTTTGAAGGGCTGGCAGGCCTGGCACATTCACCAGAGCCTCACTGTTGCTGCCGACTGATGACGGCAGGAACTTCCACTGATCTCACTGCCGACGGCGCGGGCTGGCCGTTTCCGTTAAGAGGGAGGGCGAGGGGCCGAGTGTCTTGGTTGTGGATTGGACCTGGGGGCCCAGCGGGCGGCGAGTAGGGCGCACCTTGGCCGCACGAGGCGGAGGGAACCTCAGGGCCCAGCTCCTTCACTCGCTCATCCAGGGCTGTTCAATGCTCCCTGCGATCGCAGAGAATCCGGGCCGCGTAGCGCAATCGAACCGATCGAAGCCCCAGCCACAGAAGATGGCGAATCTGCCCTTAGGGGTGTTCCATCAAATCGTTTGATGCCGCATGAGGACATCGCTACGCATGGGAGGATCAAACTCGCCTGGCTCCCAGCCCGCGAAGCTCAAGCTACGCAGCTCTGGTTGCGCGGTGTCGTCACAAACGCCCTCTGCTTGGATTCTCGGTCTGTGCTGCGCGGGGGCGACCCCTGGCCAAGCCGGGGCCGCTTCGTGACCGCAGCATTGCCAGGAATCTGGGACTACACACGCGGCTGGACTCAGATATGTGGAACATCTGGGGGCCACAGGCTGGATGCATACGCGGAAGCCTGGCGTACACGGCCATTGAAGGGCCGAGCGCTGGAAATGCGTCGGGCCACGTGTGTCCGGCTCCCGCCTAGGCCGCCCACACCGCGCCGGCGCCGCCAGATCGAGCCCGCGTCGAGCTCTACAGCCTCGCCCTTCTGACTCCCGCTCAGGCGCACCCCTCGAAGGATGCGATAGAGGATTCACGCACTGCATGAGCATTGACTCTCGGAGGTCCGCGCGGATCTTTTGGGTCGGCGCTGGGGCCCCGCCGACCGACCTACACCTCCCCAGGTGGAGGTGGGTGCCGTCTACTTCTGGTGGCGCAGCACCCGTCCCCACCTGGAGCGGGCATCTACGGCAAGTTCGTGTCGTGCCGAATTGGGCGTTGGTTTCTGACACCGCGGGGATCGTTCAACCTTGAGCGCTCGGCCCTTTCCGCAACGCCCGATCGTCGGGGTCGCGGCCAATCGACACGACGCGAACCTGCCGTACGCTGGGGGAGCGAACTTCCAGTGTTCCCATGGGGGCGGGAATAGCTCTGGCAATGGTGATCGCAGGAGGGCCAACTGAGTAGAAGAAGAAAGAACGCCATGAACATGAACTTTTGGCGCTCCGCGCGGATTTCTTGGATCCGCGCTGGACCTCCCTCCCTGGCGCGCGGAGCGTGCCAAGGGCGGCGCCAGAGGCTCTGCCAGGGGGGCCCAGGCGCGGGTCTGAGAAAGCCGCGCGGAGCGCCAAAAGTTTATGTGTATGACGAACCTCCCCTGTCCCAATGGGGGGCGGGAATCGTTCTGGCAATGGTGACTGGAGGACGGACAAAGGCCGCTCCCCCGCAATCACGAATCGTCGTCGTCGTCGTCGTCGTCGTCGTCGTCGTCGTCGTCGTCGTCGTCGTCGTTGTCCTCGTCGTCGTCGTCACCGACCCCTCCCAGAGCCCCTCCTGGCCCGCTTTTCGAGGCGGCTCCAGCGGTGGCGGCGACAAAAGCCTCCAGGAATGCCCAAAAACAAGGGCGACAAAACGCCGGGGAGGGCCACCGTTGTCTCGACTGGGACCCCGCCGATGATAAGAGGGAGCTCTTCTGATGGACCTATTTTCCACCACCACTACCATACGTATGTTGGACGGGGGGGGAAGGAGGATGAGAAGGTCCTCTTCCTCCTCCTCCTCCTCCTCCTCCTCCTCCTCCTCCTCCCTCTCCTACCTATGGTAGTGGTGGTGGAGAGTGGGCCCATCACTTCTGGCACCGCGTCTTACCCTCGGGGGCCTCGGCGGTCGTGCGACGGGGAGCCGCGGCGGTCTCCGGCGGCCCCCGCGAGGCGGGGCCGGGGCGGCCCGCACCACCGCCCGCCAGCCTATAGAGACGGGCAGGGACGAGGAGCACCAGGCATCGAGCATCCATCAAGGAGCGATGGAGCATGGAGGGCCAAGGATCGAGCGCCGAGCATTGAGGATTCAGCATCGATCGTCGAAGAGCCAACATCAGGAACGGATTGTGCGAACAACAGATACCGGGAATCTCTCAAAGTCCGCGAGTGCCCAGAGGAAACACTTCGGGGCACCGCGGCCGTTCTCCTGGGTTCGTTCTGGGAGGGCGCCCCTGAGGAACCACTTCTTGAAGGCCCCGAGGCCCAGTAGATTGAGACCCACTTCCGAGGATAACGGACCCATAAGGCGTAGATTGAAAACAAGCGCCCAGATTGGAACAAATCTCATACCCAGCGTGGACCCCAAACAACGTGCATCCAGCAATTTGCGTCTTGCAGTCCGCGTGGGACACTCTATGTGGTGCAACCTATGTTGTGCAACCTGTGTTGTGCAACCTATGTTGTGCAGCGTGCATGTGCTATTTACGTGCGGTAGCATATGTGGTGCAACCTATACTGCGCGATCAATGATGCGGGATCAATGGCGTGCAAGCAATGTTGTGCACTCTACGTGGTGCGATTTAGGTGGTGCAAAAGATGTGAAGCAACCGACCTTTTGCAATCCATTTAGGACAATCTACGTTGAATAAACCACGCTGTGCAATCGATGTGGTGCGACCTACGAGGTCCAATACATGCTGCTCTATCTGATATGAGTAATACTTGAAGTGCATTGTACGTGGTGCAACATGGGTTGTGCAATGAATGGTGTGTACCCTATGTTGTGCACCCAGTGTGGTGCGAGCTACATGGTGCAACCGAATGCAGCAATCAACGTGGTCCAACACACGTTGGACAACGTATGCTGTGCAATCGATGTGGTGCCATCTATATATACATATGTGATGAGATACATGTTGTGCAATCTAGGTAGGGTCATCTAAGTCGTGCAATCTACGCTGTGCATTATATGTACTACGGCGTGTGAGATATAATGTGTGCTGTGCAATGATAATGGAGCGTCCCACGGGGTGAAGTCCATTTGTTGCAACCTACGTTGTACAAGATTCTGGTATGCAATATCTGTTGTTGTGCGCTCCATGCGGTGCAACCTACGTGGTGCAATTGATGTGAGGCAACTAGCGTGGTGCAGTGTATCTTGTGCAACCAATATTCTTGCCGCAATCAGTTGTCAACTTCACTGCTCGCGCAGCCATCCCACCCACCCACCCGTAACTTGGTTTGCAACACCCATGCGGCGGCGATTGCAATGACTCATTGACCCTGGCCGGCGCATCGCGGCGGCCGCGCTAGCGCGCGCAGGCTCGCGCGCAGGGCGGCAGGCTAGTCTGGAACGACCGAGGCGGCCGCGTTGACGCCGACCGCTGGGGACTTTCCAGCGCGTCTCGCGGACCGTGCTGACACGCGGGAACTCCAATAAGAGTCGGTGGTTCGGGCAGGCACGGTATCATGGCGACGTCGACAACGGCAGGCACGATGATGATTGTATCGGTGCTGGTGATGGCGACGGCGACAACTACGACAAGGCCAACGACGGCGCCAATGCTGATCACGGCACTGGCGATGGTGTCCACGCGTCAGCGATGAAGTTTTTTCTTAGTTTAAAAAACTGTTTTGTTTAACGGAGATTTCGACTCACGCGCGCGGCTGACGAGCGCAAGCGGCCTGCATGGTGTTATTTGAGAGGGGTCGTGCCACCACCCCCCGTAGCACGCGCGCAAGGGCGTTCGAATGACTTCGACATGCGCGCGCGGGAGGCCCGTATGGTGGCATCTGGTCAACATGTGGGAAACAGAAGTTTCAAGAGAGCGCGCGCAAACCTTTTTCGAACAAACACGTTGCAGAAACATGCTTTGTTTCCACATGTTGTCTGGACGCTCCAATTTGAATCCGTACGACGTATAAGGTTTCTGATGGATTCGGCATGCACGCGCGACGACGCGCGCGTGTAAACATCGTCCCTTTTTTTTTGGAAGGGATGTTTAAGCTTGAAGAGTTCCGATAAAGAAACAGGGTGTGCGCGCATGGTGTTGTCCTGACGGGGATCAGGGGCGTGTGTCGATAATGGCTTGGCTGGGGTGGCATGGGCTCATATTTAGATCGAAGGATGGGGCAACATCGCATGTAATTTACACATGCCCAGGGTGTATCGATAATCCGGGGGGGGGGTAAATCCAAAAATCATTTTCAGAAGGGAGATCCTATGTGGCGCAATCGATCTGGGATTATCAATATTGTGCGTTCTATATGGTGCGAAATCTACGTGGTGCAAACAATCACTTACTCAACTTGAAGCTGTCCTCTCCACTGCTCGCGCAAACATCCCACCCTCCCACCCGCAACTTGGTTTGCAAAACCTCTTAAGACCGACTACGACGACACCGACGACAACGACGACGACGACGACGCCGACGACGTCTCCGACGACTTCGAAGACGACAACGACGCCGACGCCGCCAACGACGACGCCGCCAACGAAGGCGACGACGAGGGAGGAGGAAGGACGACGACGGCGACAACGACGACAACGACGACAACGACAAGGGAGGAGGGAGGACGGCGACGACGCGAACGACGACGAAGGAAGAAGGACGGCGACGCCGACGACGACAACGACGAGGGAGGACGGAAGACGACGACGACAACGACGACGACGACAAAGAGGACGACGACGACGAACACGAGAAAAGACAGAGGACGACGTAGGCGACGACGACGACGACAACGCGGGAGGAGGGAGGACGGCGACGACGACGACAACGACGACGACGACCACGCAAGAGCGTGCGCGCACGCTTTTGTTGAAAATCCGTGTTGCGACACCTTAGATTTTTGTAGGTTTTTTGGACGCACGATTTTGAAATCCTTCCGAAACCGATGGGTTTTGAAGGTTTTCGGCACTTCGTCCCATTTTTTGCAGAGGATTCTCGCGACGGCACACGCGCAAGGGCGGTCGACAGATTTCGACATGCGCGCGCGCGAAGCCCGTTTGGTAGCATGTTGTGAAAATATTGAAAAACCGATGGTTTTCTTAAGATCTCGCAAGAGCTCGCGCGGAAGCTTTTTTAGCAAATCAGTGTTGCGAAACCCTGTGTTTTTGCATGTGTTTTGGAAACTCGATTGCGAAATCCTTCCGGGAAATCCTTCCGGCACCGAAGGTTTTTGAAGGATTTCGGCATGCGCGCGCGACGACGCGCGCGTGTGCACTTCGTCCAATTTTTTGCAAGGGATTCGTGAACAAGTGTTATGTTAGAACAACAAAAAGTCACCACATAATGTTTTTTACAAGGGAACCTCAGGGGGGGGAACCCGGCCTGCCTGGGATGGTAGGATTCTATATTTAGGATGGACGAGTGGCCAGAATCACATATGATTTAGCTACCCGAAAGGGGAAAGGATAAGTCCGGGGGGGGAGGGGGTAGAGTCTATTCTCCTTTTAGAAAGGAGAATACATGTGATATTTACGTTGTGCAGCCTGCGTGGTGCAACATCGGTTGTGGAATCTATGTGGGCGTGCGACTGGGCGGCGACGGCGGCAACAAGTGCAGTGATCGAAGGACAGGCCCAGACGACGGGCAGCGACGGGGCGGCGACGGTAACTACACAGCCGCCAGAGCGGCACACCAGCCCAGTTCCTTCACAAAGAAATAAGCATACGTAAGAGCAAGCACGATTTGGAGAAATTGGCTTCGAGCGATCCCCACCCGAGGACGCAAAGCGGGATCATCCCCAAGGAGCAATGGCACGCGGACGAAGCATGCAAGCGTCAGTCGTCGAAGGCACGGGGCTGGATATCCAGGGAGCTCTGGGACACTTTTGGACTTGCGGCCGCGGTATGCAGTGTGTGCGAGGCGGGTCGGAAGCTGTTGCCCAACCCTTGGTTTGGTATTCGTTTTGAATAGAGTACCGCTGTCGCGTCTCCCTCCTCCTCCCCCTCCTCCCGCCTCCTCCCGCCTCTCGTGTCTCTCTCTTCCCCTCTCGTCTCGTGCGCATATCTTGGGTATGCATGTCGTCTGCGGTACCTGTCTCCGATCTCACCGACTCTGGGCGGCTGCGATCTGCGCCACTTTCGAGGGCTGCTGGTGGGTCTAGCGGAGTGGGGCACCGCGCAAACCTGAGCGGGACCTCCCCGTCCCTAGGGGGCTGCGATCTGTGAAACTGTCGCCACTTTCGAGGGCTGCTGGTGGGTCCAGCGGAGTGAGGCACCGCGCGGACCTGAGCGGGACCTCCACGTTGGGCTGCGATCTGCGAAACTGTTACCACTTTCGAAGGCTGCTGGCGGGTCCAGCGGAGTGAGGCACCGCGCGGACCTGAGCGGAACCTCCCCGTCCCTGGGGGGCTGCGATCTGCGAAACTGTTACCTTTTCCGAGGGCTGCTGGTGGGTCCAGCGGAATGAGGCACTGCGCAGACCTGAGCGGGACCTCACCGTCCCTGGGGGCTGCAATCTGTGAAACTGTCGCCACTTTCGAGGGCTGCTGGTGGGCCCAGCGGAGTGAGGCACCGCGCGGACCTGAGCGCGACCTCCCCGTCCCTAGGGGGCTGAGATCTGTGAAACTGTCGCCACTTTCGAGGGCTGCTGGTGGGTCCAGCGGAGTGGGGCACCGCGCGGACCTGAGCGGGACCGCCCCGTCCCTGGGGGGCTGCGATCTGCGAAACTGTTACCACTTTCGAGGGCTGCTGGTGGGTCCAGCGGAGCGAAGCACTCCGCGGATCTGAGCGTGACCTCCCCGTCCCTCGGGGGGAGATGGAGAAGGGGAAGCTGGCGCGGCGCCGCCAGGGCGTGCCTAAGAGAAGGGGGAGAGGCAGGAGGTGAACATATAGCACCAGTGATGCAAGATGGGCTGGCGGAATGAGCGAAGCGATTAACAAGAGAAGTGTAAGCACGATTCCCACCAGCCGATCTGTTTCACTAGATGTGGAGGGAAAGAGAAGGACGAGAAGAGGAGGAGGAGGAGGAGGAGGAGGAGGAGAAGGATAGCTGCTGGGAGTGAAGTGCAATAGCGGGGTCGCACTCGAGCGCAAGCGGGGTTGCCACACCTTGCGATATGTGTACCACGGGCCCCCAGGAAGCCTCAGGAGGCCCGACCAGGATGCCGGAAAATATTCCAGGAGGCCCCAGGAAAGGTCGTCTGGGATCGAGGTTGCGAGGATGTCCATGGAGGCCTCAGGAGGCCCGACCAGGAGGCCGCAAGAGGCTCTAGGAGGCCGAAGGAGAGTACGTCTGGGCTCGAAGTTGCGAGGACGTCCATGGAGGCCGCAAGAGGCTCTAGGACGCCCGACCAGGAGACCGCAGGCCCAAGGAGGCCCCAGGAGGCCCCAGGAGGTTCCAGGAGGCCCCCAGGAGGCTTCGAGGCAGGGTCTGGGGTACCGGGTACCAGAAGGTACGTCGGGGCTCGATTTTCGGAGGATGTCCCAGGCGAAACCGCCATTCTGGATCCTGACGTCCCGATCTGTGTGAGGGGTGCCACCGATTTTCAGAATTTCGAGGATGTCCCCAGCAAAACGGCCAGAAAAATCGCGGACGCGGCGCGGTCTTCAATTAATCGCCTCGGAGCTCTACTCCCTCGGAGAGGCGCGTATGAATATATATATATATATATATATATATACACACACACATACATACACACATATACATACATATATCTATATATATGTGTGTATGGAAAAGCCTGCCGTCGTGATTGTTTTTTTAGCCAGCGTCGTTGGCCTGCCGCAGACGTATCCGCGGGGAGAGGTGCACTAGTTAACGGGGCCCAGGGACACACAAATAAACAAATCCCAGGATTCCATATATTTTCCAGTAATTTCTGGATTTTCGTCTCCCCCCTCACTTCCCATACTTTCCAACATTTTCCTGGGAGTCGACTATGAATTGTCTGTGTGTTTTTCCCCTCCTGAAGGTGCTTGCAACAGTTTGTGCCTGGATGTAGCAGATTTCGCGCTGGATGCAATAGTTGCGCGTGCGTGCAGTGGTGCAGTTTTTCACGTTCAAGAATTATTTCCCGTGCAGAATCGTTGGTGCTCCCGCGCAAGTTGCGTTCTATTGCGCGCGCTAACACGCAGTTAATAAACGACTGCACCTCTCAACGCCGACCAATATAAGAGACCTCCCAGATACGGTCCGAGCGAATGGGTCGGAGGATCGCGCCGCATCGACGATACATCGTCGATGCATCGTCCATGCATCGGCGATATCGGCGATGTATTGGCGACATCGACGCGGAGAAAATCGGGCTCCGCATTGAGCCGCATCGCCGATGCATTGGCGATGCGGGGAGATCCTTCGAACCCGTGTACTCCGACACCATCTGAGGGGCCTAGACATTTGCACCAGACCCGCCGCTCCAGCTTGCATCTTCCACGACGCGAGGGGGGCCCGACTTTGTCTTCGCCCTGGGCCTGCCCGGCAGCCCGCCTCGGCCCGGCGCGACGCCGGCGTGCGCCCCGCTGTCCCGCGGTGGTGATCCGCGGGGTTGCGCGGTGTCGCCGTCCTCGGCGTTGTTAGCCTTCGGGTCCGCCCCAGAGGGCTGTCCCTCATCCTCCCTCCTCCCGCCTCGTCTCTCCTGCCTCCTCCCTCCCCCTCCCGCCTCCTGCCTCCCTCCATCCCTTCTCCCTCCTCCCTCTGTCCCTCCCCCCTCCTTCCCTCCCTCCTCCTTGGAGGAGCGACGGGAGGACATGAACCGCCTGGCCCATCATGGCCCGGGGCACATGCGCGCACGAAAGGGGTGCCTTGACTATCTGATGGCCCCAAGGCAGGCCGCTGGTCCCGCGCGCGGGGACGGGGCCTTGCAAAGCGCCAGCTTGGCCAGATCCCCACGGACGGCCTCCAAGCAACATCACCCCAACGCCCTGCAGAGGGAGGAGGAGATGGGCCACGGGACGGAGGGACCCCCCCACCTGCAGGGGCACATTCCTCACCTCTCGACGCCCTCGGAAGGAGAAAAAATGTGCGACACAATCCAACGACGCAAAACAAATCCCTCCTTTTCCGTCCCTCTTTCCCTCCCCTCCTTTCTCCTTCCTCCTCCTCCTCCATCGTGTCCTTTCCCTCCTTCGCTCTCTCCACAGTCACTCGACATGAACAATGTGTTCTTCTCTCCCCCGACAGTGGCTGGGTAGTGGCCCGCCGACCTCCACGTACTGTTTTTCCTACAAGCCAGATTTAAACACTGAGTTGTTGTGTTTTGCCTGCTTCAGCAAAGTGGTGGTGTTCGGCACAGTGCTGCGGCAACGCGGGCCTCATTTGAAGCTCGGAACTTTGCTCCCGTTATTCAACGTCCCAGCGCGGGACCTGGTCTGGACCCGATTAGTTTCTCATCGTTGTCGCCCACCTCTTTTGCCTCCTCCGCCTTCCTCTGTTCCATGCTCCTCCCAGCCCCTCTACTCCAGCTCGTGATGCTGCAAGTCGCCGTCGTCCTCCTCCTTCATCCTCTCCCTCCTCCTGCTCATCCTCTTGCTCATCAGCACATCCTCCTCCAATGTATAGATCTCCCCATCTCTGATTGCCCATGACACGACGGGTTCTTTTTGGGAGTTCAAAGTCCGCTCAGGCACGCGCTAAAAAATTGAGGACCGGATCGCACGAGAACGGGACGCGTCGCTTTGTCCTTTGGGTTCGCACGGGATGAAGAAGAAATGGCTGATGGCGGCGACAAGAGGGCGGACGACGAGAACGACGGCGCGATTGACGGGGAGGGCAGCGAGAGAGCAGCAGAACAACACGTAAGATTGCAATGAACCCGAATCGAATGGACGAGCCCCTAGGAAGGCCAAGGCGGCGAGCCGCCTCAGAACATGCCGCGCACATCTTCGTCTGAGGAGTCGGCGTCCAGACTGGCAGAGGGGCGGGCAGCCGCGCGCCCGAGCCCGCGCGCCATCCCCACGTCGCCCTCTGCAGTCCACGGCACTTCAGCAGATAGAGCACCTCCCGCGCGGCACTGCGGCTACCTGGGCTGCGGAATGACCTCCAGCTGCTCCGCTCCACGGCGCCCGAGGCAAAGTGCCTGGGGCAGCTTGCCAGGGCACCCCCCAATCCACGCTCCGGCAGACCTCGGTCCTCTGCGCGACCTTGCAGCGCAAGAGCGCACGTCCGTGCGCCCGCCGCCGCGCGCTTGGCCCTCCAGAGGGCGCCCAGCGCAGAGGACAGGAGGTCGGGCTGGGCTTCTGGACGCCGCCGGCGCAATCGCGGGCCGCGCGGGGGCCGTCGGGGGCCTTGCTGGGAGCCGCCAGGGGCGCTCCGGGGCGGCCCAGGGGCTCGAGATCACAAACCTAGGTTTTGTGATTGTGGAGACTGGCGGGCCTCTGAGCGGCCATTGGGGCCGTCGGAAGACCGTCGCTGGGTAGCTCTCGCGAGTCCGTCGGCTGCGGGGCCCTCGCCAACGCCGGGGCGCGGCGCGCGGTCCAAGCAGCGCCCCGGCCGCTGGCCACCCCCCCTCGCGCCGCGTCCGCCCGGAGGGCAGGAGCGAGGGGGGCCCTGCTCATGATCGAAGTGGCCAGCGACCGCAGGCTGGTCAGCTGGCATGTTGCCCAGCCAGCGTTGGCGCCATCTTGGCCTGCTTCTGCCGCAGCTGCGCAGCGCGTGGGCCAGACGCCGCGTCTGCGAGGGCACCAGGCCGGCGCCTCGGGGTTAGCGGCCCAGCCGAACACCGCCCCCGCCGCCACCTCGGCGAGGGCGCGCAGGCCTCGCCGCAGGGCCGCGCCGGGCTCGCAGGTGCCGTGCCTGGCCGCCCCCCGCTTGGCCAGCTCGTCCACGTGCTCGATGCGATGCGTCCACGCCGGCGCTCGACGCGTGCCCGGGCGTCTCGTGGCCCTCGAAGTCGGCCTAGTCCAGGTGGAGCTGAGGAAAAAACTTCGGTCACCGTCGTGATCTTGGAAACCGCGTGGCCCACGGCGTCGGGGGCCGTCTGGCCGGGCGCCGCCGAGGTAGGCGCGGGCCCGAGCGCCGCTGCCCCCAGGCGGCCGGAGCGGTCGGGCCCGCCGCCCATTCAGCTCGCCCCAGCTCAGGGAGGCGAGCCACGAACGAGCGGACAACCCAGCAGTGCACCCCTGAACTGGGCCCGCTGGCTCGGGAGACGTCGGCCACGACTCCGACCCGCAAGCGGGCGGTCTGGCCACAAACCGCTGTAGAACCGCTCTCCTGCCTCCGCGCTCCAGCGCCTGCTCTCGCCGCTCGCTGGCGGATGCGGGGTGCCCGGTCGCGGCGCAGTCCAGCGTGGGCGGGGCGCTCGCAGCGGTGGCGGCGCAGGCCCCCCGCGCCGCCGCCACGGACCCTGCGCGCCTTGGGGGCCGCCAGGACACGCGCGAACAGCCGGGCCAGGGGCCGCTGAGCGTTGGCGACCACGTCGCGGAGGACCCCCCGCTGCCTCGCGACCCCGACGTCCGTCTTAAGCTTGTGACTCCGGATGGCCTTAGACAGCTGGGAATCAAGACAGCAATATGATATAGTTTTGTTTAAACAGCTTTCCGAGATAACGAAAAGTAGCCTCTACTTAGCTCACGAAGCGGCGGGAACGCGCGCGCGGGACGGGCCGCGTGGGCAACGTCGAACCCCGCGGCGGCGACGCGCCGAATCAAACCACGGCCCCGCGCGCCAGTAAATCAACAATGAATGCCGCGCGGGCTCTGCGCGCGACGCCGCGGCGATGGTCGCGGCGCGGTTTTGCGCGCGACACACCCCAACGCCTTTTTCACCTTTCCCCCCTCATCCCCTTCACCGGCCCTCCCCTTCCTCGTCTCGGCCTCTCCTCCTCCTCATCATCCTCTTCTTTCGCCCGACCTTCCCCCCTCTACCCGTCGCGCGCCCATCTCGCCGTGCCGCGGCGACGCCTTCCTGCTGCCGCGAACCCCTCGCCCGCCGCCCCCACCCCTTCCCCTGCGCCGTCGTTGTCTTCGTCCGCCGCCCCCGCGCCCTCTTCCTCCTGCTCGCTGCTCGCCCGCTGTCCTCCTCCTCCCCTCCCCCTGTCCTCCTCCTCTCCTCCTCCTCCTCCTCCTCCTCCTCCTCCTTCCCCCTCCTCCTTCACCCCCCCCTCCTCCTCCTCCTCCTCTTCTTCGCCCCCCCCCCCACTCCCGCGCCCATCGCTCGCGCCAGGCGCGGCCGCGCCGGCGCGCGTCGCGCGTTCGGGCCCAGCCGCGCCGGAACGATCGTTGGCGTGGCCGCGCCGGCGCGCCACTGTCTATTTGGGCCCGGCCGCGCCGGCGCGCTGCGCAATTCAGGCCGGGGCCGCGCCGGCGCGTTTTTAGAAAATCCAAACAGGCCGCGCTGGCCCCAGCGGACCCCGCGGCCGCCGGACGCCCCCTCCGGCCAGCCGCCAGCGGGCCCGGCCGGGGGGGGGGGGGGCACTGGCCAACAACCCGCCGGCGGGCCCGGGGGGCGCCCCGGCGAGCCGAGAATAATTCCGATATAGCTTTTTGTTAGTCATCGAGATAGTTGTTTCTAATCTCTCCTAGCTTTAACTAGCTTTTTGTAGCTAAGGGTCATTTGTTGTTTCTTTCTTTCTTTCTTTTTTCTAACTGTCGCGTAGCTTTTTCTAGCTTTCAACTAGCTTTCGGGCGGCTTCCTAGCAACTCGCTAAGCCCCGGGAAATGACTCTTTTTAGCCCCCCCTCCGGGGGGCCCGCGGGCGCTTGAAGTTGCTTATTAGAATAGCTTTCAAGTATGGCTTTAACGTATATTTGTGTTACCCCCCTCCGGCGGCCCGCAAGCGCCCCGCGAGGCGCCGCGCGTGGGAGTTCCGGGCCAGGTGGCGCCGGCGCGCGTTGCGAGCCTGGGGCGGCCGCGCTGGCGCGCGTTATTATTTCGAGCGGGGCCGCGACGTCGCGCGTTGCAGATCTGGGCCGGGCCTAGCCGGCGCGTTGTGCATGTCCGGGCCCGGCCGCGCCGGCGCGTGCAAATTTGGGCCCGGCCGCGCCGGCGCGTTTTGCATATCCGGGCCCGGGCCGCGCTGGCGCGCGCAAATCTGGGCCGGCCGCGCCACCTCTCGCGGACCCCCGGCCCGCCGGAGGCACACCCAGCCGGCCGCCGGCGGGCCCGCGGGCGGGTCGCCAGCGCCCCCCCGGAGGGCCCCGGCGGCCTTGTGGCGGGCCCGGGGGGCGCCCCGAAATTGCTTTCTAAATCGGCGAAATAATTTCTCCGCCCCCGTGCAAGGGCCCAGATTCGCCCATCTTAACTGCGCGCTGGCCTGGCGGGCGGGCCCCGCCACTTGCTCGGCCCCGATCCAGATGCTGCAACCGGCAGAATGCGCCGCGCGCCATGAGTCCGCGGGCCGCCCTGTAGACTACAAGAAGACGTCGGCGCTGCGACCTCGCATCTATGGCCCCCGACACTACGCGCTTGCATCGCGCAGCGCGGCCCCGCGCCTGCGAACCTCAAGCAATGCGGCGCAGCGCAACGCGCCCGGGATGGCCGCGGCAATGATGGTTGCAATGCGACATATTTGCAGCGCGCGCACCGATCAACCTGCAAATTTGCATTGACATGTTATGTCTAAATTGGGAAACGATTTCCTACT